TATGGTGGTGAGTTGGTGGCTTGGGGGAAGCAGATTGATTTATATTTGCAGGTGTAGTTGCCAATTGGTTTGGCAAATATGAATAGTCTGTATAAAGGAGAGACATATTGCAAAAAGTGAAATTATAATGTTTGAAGGAGATGTTTTTGACTTTTTCAATTGGCTGCATGTGTTCTTCTTCTTTTTCCCTTTTTCCTATTTTTTTTACAGTTTAGTAACTACTTCTTGATGAACTAAAAACTAAGTGCTTGAATCCCACAAACAGCTATTCTGTGTTTATTGTGATCAATTTTGTATTAATTGTGATCGATTGTAACTAGTTGTGACCAATTTTGTATTAACTGTGACCAATTGTGACTTGAGATTCATTTGGTCATAGATAGTCACACTCAATACAAATTTGATCACAGTTAGTCACACCGAAAACAAATTTGGTCACAATTAATCACAATTGGTCACAATTAGTCACATTGAATACAAATTTGATCACAGTTGAAAATTTTCTGAAATGGGAATGGGGGCGGGTGTAATCTCCAATTTTTAATTTTTTTTAAAAAAATTGGAAGGTGAAGGTAGGGGTGAGGGGTTGGGGTATGTGGATCCAGGGGTGGGGGTATGATTTCCTCTTTTTAATTTTTTGAAAATTTTTTGAAAAGTGAAGTAAGGTGGGTGTGGTTGGATTTTCTATTTTTAATTTCTGGACATTTTTTTGTGTGTGCGGGTGGGTCGTGTGGGGGTGGAGACAATTAATTTTATTTAATTATATATTATTCATGCAAAATCATGAAATATTCTACGGTTAGTTTAAAGTTCAGCTATCATTTTTGACCTTGCCTCACATGTGGGGGCCCAGTTTTTTTCATTTTAATGATGTGGAAAATGTGCAATAAACAAAGTTGTAAATTATTAATTAAAATTAACACCTGATTTTTGAAATAATTTGACAAGTTTGATAATTTTGAAATGTAGGAACCATGCATTGTTCCCAAACAACAACCAGGTCGTGCCATTCAGGGACAGAGCCCAATGAGGTCCAATGCAAGCACATGCCTGCACTGAACTTTTGGGCCCAACCCAATGGCCCATTTTTTTTAATATGCCCACAGTCAGCCCAAGAGTGAACCAAAATCATTACAAATACACACTACTCTAATGTAGACGGCCCAAGACCACTATCCAACCCAATCCAGTTAATTTAAAACATCAGACTCGCAGCTCCAGGCTACATTTCAATTCATCGCATCCTCCGCCTCCACCTTTGCCTCCAACCTTCGCCAAAGACTCACAATTGTTTCGCCCCTGTCCCAACACCCATTACCCACTCTTTGACTCCGTCTACGTCACTGTTCCGCAAACCGCAGCTACTTCGTCATCTCCGTCCCAAACTCCATAAAGTTCCGCAGCTACTTGCCTGCCTGCCTATGTGACTGTGACTATGAATTATTGCCTTTTATATCATTGTAATTTGTAATTTTGTGAAGTGTGAATTACATTAGTTCTGAAAGGAGTATTTCCCTGTGAATTGTTATTTGAATTGCCTCTACTTTTATGTGAATTGTTATAGAATTGCCCCTATAAATTGTATTCAGTTGTAATTGGATATCTAATATTTATATTCAGAGATGAAATGAAGCGATTCTTTCAAAGAAAAATTAATGTGGACAACGTAAATGTTGATGGGAATGACGAATAATGTGGAATTTGATGCCACTAAACTTCCAACTAATCTGAGTCTAAGGATACCTATTTTGGATTACAATACTAAAATCTGATATGAAGTTCGAAGAGAATATA